AAGCTTTGCTTTTTACACAGTATTTCATTTAAATATCATTTGTGAAGTATTGTAAGATATTATAACATACTTAATCAATTTATAGAGGTGAAATGGATAGCATTATCTTTAGTGAAAATACCAAGAGAGGACCTTCAGTGCATGTACAACGAAGGATGAATGTTTTGAATCAAGTTTTAATGGAACGTATCACAGATTTCATGTCTACTGGGGAATTAGATCATAGACTTGAAGATAAATGCATTGAGATCAGTCATGTAAAAATAACACAGGATTTTAAAGTTATTAATATATATTGGATAGATAATAGTATTGACATGTCTGACACAGAGAAAATATTAGATACGTGTGCATATCGTTTGAGATATGAATTATGTCAGCTTCGCATAATGGGTAATTTACCTCCAATTAAGTTTGTGAAGTGTAAACACATGGATAGAGCACGAGAAGTGGAAAGAAAACTAGCAATCGCGGATTATGGAGAAGATTATAAACCTACCTTGTACCCATATGCTGTAAATCATATTGTTTCAAGTAAAAGTTCCACTGATAATGATACAGAAATCACAGACTGTATTAATGACACTTTTTCTATAACTCTGCCAGTAATGAGTCACGATGTATTTGATTTAAATCATCATCGAATAATGTCAAAGGTATGTTGCATGAATTACTTATTATTACTTATAATATTTAAAAACAATTTCTTCTTTTGCAGATCAAGGCTTCACTAACTCAATCAAGACAATCACATAAACAACAAGCAACTAATATGCAATACACCCAAAAAGCTGTTCCGGACTTCTTAACTACAAAAGAACAGGAAGAACAGTTTTCTCAGTTTTTGAAGAAAAAGCAACATGACAGAAGGCTAAAACGTAAGGAGAAACGATCGATGAACGTTATTCATCAACTTATTGAAGAAAACGAAAATGATCTTGATACAATTAGTGATGATGATCATGTTACTGATGATGATTATGTTACTGATGACAATTACGTTATTGATGATGATCATGTTACTAATGATGATGAATATACAGATAGATAATAAATAGATTCTTATCATTAATGTTAATGCAAAAAGTTATGTAAAATAATTAAATATATATGCATGTCAAGACCAAAACGTTAACAATATACAATACATAATACTTTTTTATTATAATTTACATTTTTGGGAACAAAATCAATATTGATATTTATTTATTTTTACGTTCACACTTATTTTGTTTTATATTATACCTGTACATAATATACAATTCAATTTATCTTTGATACACTTCAAACGTAATATTCGTAGACTGTTGTAATTTATTTAATCATTGATCCCATTGATGTTATTTTATTTGACAAGATTTGTTTGTGACAAACCGCTTAATTTAAACACTTTGTCTGTATGTAAGGAACTCAACATTTCTTTTCTATTAACAGTTATCTCCCTCTCTTCCAAATTTAT